TCTATGTACTTTATCACATCATGCTGAAGACTTTTTTATGTTTTACTTTATCATCTATGTACTTTATCACATCATGCTGAAGACTTTTTTATGTTTTACTTTATCATCTATGTACTTTATCACATCATGCTGAAGACTTTTTTTATGTTTTACTTTATCATCTATGTACTTTATCACATCATGCTGAAGACTTTTTTATGTTTTACTTTATCATCTATGTACTTTATCACATCATGCTGAAGACTTTTTTATGTTTTACTTTATCATCTATGTACTTTATCACATCATGCTGAAGACTTTTTTATGTTTTACTTTATCATCTATGTACTTTATCATCTATGTACTTTATCATCTATGTACTTTATCATCTATGTACTTTATCATCTATGTACTTTATCATCTATGTACTTTATCATCTATGTACTTTATCACATCATGCTGAAGACTTTTTTATGTTTTACTTTATCATCTATGTACTTTATCATCTATGTACTTTATCATCTATGTACTTTATCATCTATGTACTTTATCATCTATGTACTTTATCACATCATGCTGAAGACTTTTTTATGTTTTACTTTATCATCTATGTACTTTATCATCTATGTACTTTATCATCTATGTACTTTATCATCTATGTACTTTATCATCTATGTACTTTATCATCTATGTACTTTATCATCTATGTACTTTATTACATCATGCTGAAGACTTTTTTATGTTTTACTTTATCATCTATGTACTTTATCATCTATGTACTTTATCATCTATGTACTTTATCATCTATGTACTTTATCATCTATGTACTTTATCATCTATGTACTTTATCATCTATGTACTTTATCATCTATGTACTTTATCATCTATACTTTATCACATCATGCTGAAGACTTTTTTATGTTTTACTTTATCATCTATGTACTTTATCATCTATGTACTTTATCATCTATGTACTTTATCATCTATGTACTTTATCATCTATGTACTTTATCATCTATGTACTTTATCATCTATGTACTTTATCATCTATGTACTTTATCATCTATGTACTTTATCATCTATGTACTTTATCATCTATGTACTTTATCATCTATGTACTTTATCATCTATGTACTTTATCACATCATGCTGAAGACTTTTTTATGTTTTACTTTATCATCTATGTACTTTATCATCTATGTACTTTATCATCTATGTACTTTATCATCTATGTACTTTATCATCTATGTACTTTATCATCTATGTACTTTATCATCTATGTACTTTATCATCTATGTACTTTATCATCTATGTACTTTATCATCTATGTACTTTATCATCTATGTACTTTATCATCTATGTACTTTATCATCTATGTACTTTATCACATCATGCTGAAGACTTTTTTATGTTTTACTTTATCATCTATGTACTTTATCATCTATGTACTTTATCATCTATGTACTTTATCATCTATGTACTTTATCATCTATGTACTTTATCATCTATGTACTTTATCATCTATGTACTTTATCATCTATGTACTTTATCATCTATGTACTTTATCATCTATGTACTTTATCACATCATGCTGAAGACTTTTGTGTGTGCTAAAAGTTACTTTAGCACTTGTGCTGAACACATGTTAGGTGTGTAGGGGGTTGCATGGTCTAGAGGCATGGCATCAACCTCAAGTGCTGGAGGACCTGGGTTCAAGCCCAAGTGAAGACTAGAATTTTTTACAAGAATTTCTAGTAATTTTTCCTGGTCTCTGGGTAGTAAGATCAGACACCTGTGTGTATTGTTGTCCACGTAAAAAATCCTCTGGCAGTTAGAAATCGAAAAGTAGCCTGATGGAGCTACCCGGGAAAATTTTGAGTTAAAAATCTACCCAAAGTATTTCAGGATCTTTGCCGGTACTGCAGAGATTGTGCACTGTGCTGAGATTCTTCAAACTCAAGCTTGAGTTAGAAGTAGAGTGGAGCACTTATGGGTTAACCCTTGTGTTAACCCTTAATCCGAAGTCTAAACCTAAACCCATTAGGTGTTAATGTTTCTTCTTCTTCTTCTTTACGTCTTCTCCAGGTGTTGAAGCAAAAATAAGTGCTCTTCTGGCTGCTTTGACCATAGACACATGGTAGTGCTGAAGAGTTTCTCTGATGCTTTCTTCCCATTTTTTCCGTGGCCTCCCTCTTGCCCTACGTCCCTTTCCTCCTATGGTATATGTTTGTATTGTACAACATAAAAAGGCATTCTCTTGAAATGGGAAAACCATTTGATTTACTGTCTTGCTAATGTTACTTTATCATATATGTGAGGAGCCGCCATGGTGTAGCAGCCAGACACCCACCTGCAGATCAGAAGGTCGTGGGTTTAGGTTCTGATTTATGTGTGTCTGCGTAGTGTTTAGGAGGCGTGACACTTACTTACTTAGTCGCTCCTGTTCTACCTTGGGGTGTAGAGGTTTGCCAGATAGATCGTCAAACTTTTCTATCAGCAGTTTTCTTTTTGACTTTTATACATCCAGTCTTCTGTCAGTCAGAAGCTGTTGGACATTGTCTTCGCAGCGTTCCCTGGAGGTTTGGTTCCCTGGTACTTAGCATCCCATGGTGGCCAATTTTCTCCCATTCTGCATAAATGTCCAAACCTTCACAACTGTGACTGATCCACTCATGTTTGCAAGGCCTGATTTTAAGATCTTGACATATTGTCTGATTGTGAACTTTGTCCCTTCTTGTCACTAGGACCACCTTCCTCAGATTTCTCATTTCTGAGGCCAGAAAATGGCTTCTGTGAGCTTTCTGTTATTGCCTATGACTCACACATGTAGATCAGGATAAATATATTAGCTAAATACTGCACTTGAAGGGGTTTACTTGTAAATACAAATTTTTTTCTAAAGCTAGGTTGATTAAAAATTTCCCCACAAGCCCCAGTGATAGAGGTCATGAGTCACAGCACGAGTCACCCAATACATATTTGTTTTAGGCTTCACTCTATTTGTGTTTACTGATTACTCCCTTTATATATCTTTATATATTCCAAAACAAAATGTTAAAACATTTTCAAACAATTTATTATAAACCTTAAAACAATTTATCAGCTACCTGTGTAAAATAATTGCTTTTTAGAGGGTTTTCCCAGAAATTTCCAAGTGTGCAGACTGTTTTTCTTTAATATTCATGGGACAGAAGGACTAACTCTTTAGGCACCAGCCTATAATTACTCCTCATATCTGAACATATTCTAGTTTAAAGTAGTGAATGTCTAAGTTCAAAGACATTAAAATAATAACACAACTGGAAAGGAGTAAAAGTCACAATTCAGATAAATGAGTTAATGTAACAATTATGTGCGACTTAAAAAAAAAAGAGCCTGAAATATGTATGGTTTTTGTACTAACTAATGAATTTATGGTGAACTGCATGGTAGCGCAAGAGTTAAATCTATACGACATGTCTTCAGTGTTTGTATCGATGAGAATCAGGCACACGCAATGAGTAGTTATTAAAGGGCTAGAATGACAGAATGTTAGCCCAACCTGCATGCCCAGTGATTAACCCTTTGGAAATAAATTCTGTTCATTTGTTCGTACTGAAAGTATGTTCAGAAAGGGACTGTACCCATCAGCGTGTGGTGTATATGAAAAACGTTTGCTGTCTGTCAACGGAAGGTGGTTCACTCTTTCAGTTTCAAACAAACCATCACATGTCTTGATCATTCCAAATCCCCATGTGTATGTTGAGCTCCATTTTGGAGAGCAAAAGAAAAGCCCCACTAACAAGCATGTCATACGAGGCAACTAATTCTGGGTGTTACCTTCAAAGTTGGAGTGCATCTCCCTGAGAGGCAAGAAACCAATAGTCTGCATACCCAAAAAAAAAAAAAAAAAAAAAAAGAAAGACAGTATCTGTGAATTGGATTTGCAAGTGAAACTCAATTTTTGGATCAAGACCAAAGTCCAGGAATGGATAAAGGCCACACATTTCTGCCAGAGTTTATAGCCTGTGACCGCAAAAAGGAAGAAGAAGAAATTACAGTGCAGATCGCTCAAGGCAATCTCTAATGTGGCAAATTTCTGCTCTGAGGAACAATTTGTTTATCCTCTGCAATTTTTCTTACATCTGGATAAGAGGAATTTCTGATAAGAAGAACTATTTCTTGGGTCTACGGTGAGTTCTCCTTATCAGATATGCACTGTAATAGTCCAACTACTTCAGCCCCATAGTTTCTCTTTTGAATTCCTTAGTATCTTTTGATCTCATTGGCACAGATATAGTTGAGGTATTGACTGCTCTGCACTAAAGAAGTTCAAGTGGAAATTCTTGGCTTGCTTATCACCAATCTTCCAATGTCAGTCTCTCTTGTTTATCATTAATCTTCAAATGTTAAACTCGCCTGTTTATCCCCAGTGAATGCAGCTCATAATTTTGAAGTTCCTGGTCTGATTCAGCTGCAGGTGATTTGAAAAGCAGACTGCTTTACAATGATTTTGACACAACAGTATGGAGCATCGAAGCATTTAGAAAACAATTTCAAACTACCGAATGTACAACTGTCAATTAAAACCAGAAAAACCACAAATGTGTGGGTTGGTATGCAACATCCTGTAAAGATATGCAACTAACTAGTTTCCAATGCCACAAAGACACTGATTCTTGTTTGTTAGCAAGTGGGACTGATTTTGCCTTGTGTGATAACACCATCAACAAACTGGTATTTTGGATGTCCATGCGATTTCATGGCAAGTTAAACTGACCACTGGTTCTTTTTGTTTCCACAATGCAGGATTGTTCATTACAGTTACAACCTGTGGTATTTTAGATTCCCAGGTGATTTTCTCTTGCTGCCTTCTCAGAGAGTTTTGATAAATAACAGGCTTTCTCCGCCAGTCCTTGCCGTCAGGTACTGAGCTGACATTGCAGATGCTCCATTGTCGAAAAGGCTTACAAAATGGTTCTTATGGCAGAACTGTGACCTGGGAGGGGTGATACAAGTGACGAATGGCAGCCCAGTGTTGACTAGAAGTACTCGGAGTAAATGTTGGGATCTACGAATGTTGGCCGTGGGATATGAAAGCTTCCTTTCTCACTTAATTTACTCAGGCTGAAAGTAAAAGAAGACATAACAGAAATATCAATATTCACACTTAAAGGCATAAAAATCATGCTTATAATGTCTAACTGACAAGTTAACCAGAACATATTAATAAATATATATATTAAATATTTGGGGGTGGGGGGGTCTTTCATACTTTCTATACACCCTTTTAATTTCCAGCCCAATATGGTGGACAGCCATGGCAGAATGTGTGGAAGTCTAGGGTTATGCTGTGAAAGCTACAAAGTTTAGTGCTTGGTGCATCACTGTGAGTTGTGTTTTTCATGTAGAATGCCTTTCATGTGTACAGTGACTGTATCATGATATTCAACGACTACTGCTACGACTTTCAGAGGTTCCGATGTATTTACTGACCATTTCCTGGTGATAAGTAAAATCAAGTTGAAACTAAAAAGATATATAACATCTTATAATCATAGAAACCAATATAATGTAGGCTTTCTCAGAGATAAAGAAATTAAGGAACAGTTCTCAGTTACGGTCTCTTAAAAGTACCAGGTGTTGCAGCAGTTAGCTGAAGATGTCAACACAGAAGTCTGCTGGGATCAGATCAAAGGAATCTGGAATGAATCTTGCGTAGAAGTTCTTGGCAAGAAAGAAAGGAAACATAAAGCATGGATAACACCAGAAACCATTAAACTGATTGAAGATAGGAAAAGTAAAAAGGCAGAATTAAACAATAGCAAAACTAGAGCTGCTAAAGCTAGAGCTCAGGAGAAATACACAGAAGCCAACAAGGAAGTTAGGAGGCATATAAGGGCACATAAAGTGAAATATCTAAATGATCTAGCACAAGAAGCAGAGACAGCAGCAGCAAAAGGAAACCTCAGAGAACTTTACAGTAACACAAGAAAATTAGTAGGTAAATATAGTCAGCCAACTGGATCAATCAAAAATAGTCAAGGAAAGGTACTTACTAACACTAAAGATCAAATGGACAGATGGGTTGAATATTTTGAAATGCTTCTAAATAGACCAGGCCCAGAGGTTCCCCCAGATATCCAGCCTTTAGAAATGGAACTGGATATCAACTGTGAGATACCATCCAAAGAGGAAATAAGGAAAGCTATAATTCTTCTCAAGGAAGGAAAGGCGACAGGCCCAGACGGTATCCCAGCTGAAGCCATCAGGGCCAACATAAACACATCAACAGAATTGCTACATAGATTATTCAGTAAAGTCTGGGAGACCGAAGAAATACCAGCAGACTGGAGAGAAGGATATCTTGTGAAACTGCCCAAAAAAGGTGATCTACAGGAGTGTGAAAACTATAGAGGAATTATGTTGCTGTCAGTTCCTGGAAAAATATTAAGTAGAATTATTTTGGAAAGATTAAAAGATGCTATTGATAAAATGCTAAGAGATGAGCAGGCAGGTTTTCGGTCAAACAGATCCTGTACTGATCAGATAGCCACATTACGTATTATAATAGAGCAAAGCATTGAACTGAACTCACCACTTTACATTGGATTTATAGACTATGAAAAAGCATTTGACAGCATAGATAGGGAATCTCTCTGGAAATTGATGGGACACTATGGAATCCCACAGAAAATTATCAACTTAGTAAAGGCAACATATAAAGACATGAATTGTCGAGTTCTTCATGAGGGAAAGCTAACAGATGCATTTGAAATACAAACAGGTGTGCGACAGGGATGTCTTTTGTCGCCTCTCTTATTTTTACTGGCTATAGACTGGACTATGAAAACAGTAACTGCTAACACCAAGAATGGAATTCAGTGGACCCCTACAAAACAGCTTGATGATCTGGACTTCGCTGATGATATTGCTCTTCTGTCCCATTCACGGAATCAGATGCAAGATAAATTAAATATACTTAATGCGAGATCAAAGCAGCTTGGTCTGAAAATCCATAAAGGAAAGACAAAGGTAATGAGAATAAATCAGGCAAATAGTAATGTGGTTTCTCTTAATGGCACCCCACTCCAAGACGTGGAGTAGTACACCTATTTAGGCAGTAATGTAGATAAAGATGGAGGAACTGATAGAGATATTAAAATAAGAATACAAAAGGCAAGAGGGGCTTTCATAGCACTAGGGAATTTGTGGAGGTCAAAAGAAATTAAAAGAAATACTAAACTAAAAATTTTTAATTCTAATGTGAAATCAGTACTATTGTATGGGGCGGAAACATGGAGAACAAACCAAGGCAATTACTAATAAATTACAGACATTCATTAACTGGTGCCTGCGCAGAATAGAGGGAATAAAACGGTATGATAAAATAACTAATGTAGAACTTTGGGAGAGAACTAAACAGGCTCCAGTGGATCAGGAAGTGAGGAAAAGACGCTGGCATCGGATAGGGCACACACTGAGAAAACAGGAGAACAGCATAACTAGAATGTCTTTGCATTGGAACCCACAGGGGCATAGGAATAAAGGAAGGCCAAAAAACACATGGAGAAGAGAGCTGGAGAACGAGGTTAGAAAGATTGGGAGGACATGGGGAGAGCTCCATGCAATGGCGAAGGATAAAACGACTTGGCGTGAGTTGGTTGAGGGCCTATGCTCCATTGGGGGATAGAAAGGCAGAAGAAGAAGACTGCTACGACTAACTTTAACTCTTGCAGTCCCAGACGGCTGTTTTATAAACGAGGTCTCTGTTAGCGATTAGCTCATCTCAGAACCCAGACATTTGTTGCTAATGCTTATTCAACTGCTCACCACCCACTGTTTTTGTCATTTACTTCTCACTCAGATGTTTATAGCACTAAACTGATATCAGTATGCAGCAAAAAAAACAACAGAATAAGTTTATAATTATCTTCATTGCATCCACTGGCTGTAAACTCCAGCAAAAAGTACTGGTTGGTCATCTACTTCTGGACTCTAGCTCTGTTCCAGAACCCGAGTTTTTAGTGCACATAAGTTTTACAGATCTAAAAAATCTGTATGCAGACTGTTGGTTCCTTGCCTTTCAGGCAGATGCACTCCAACTTTCAAGGAAGCTCCCGATTAGTTGACTTGTACAACATGCGTGTGGGGAAGCAGTGGGTCAATTCTTGTTTTCCCCACAATTAGGCAGTGGAACCCACACGGGGATATATAATGTATGGAGTCAACAAATGATCACACTATGTGCTTCTTGGTGTAGAAAGAGTTAACATTTACTATATTTACTGAGGCTGAAGTAAAAGACGACAAAATATAAATCTCAACATTCATATATAAAGGAATCTATCAATCATGCTTATAATCCATGACTTTAAAAAAATAGCAAGATGATGTTTATGTGAACATTTTCTTGTAATCCTTCCATACATCTGTTCAACGTTTACACGTAAAATATAAGAAGAAAAAAAATACTACAATCTGTGACACTTCTTATCCGATCATAATTGATGTAAATTTGACTCCTGACCAAGAAATACAGAAATTATGGTCCTCGTTTAAAACAGTTCTGCCGCAGCAGGCACGTCGGGCTAGTCCTAAGTATTTTTAACAGCCTAACTGGCATTCAACATGTGATGTGGCCAACATCATCCTGACTACCTTTATTTCCCCTGTACCCATTTTAGGCTGGGCAAACCTTGGAGCCAAGGCTAATTTTGAGAGAGGAAAAAATCTGTCTCAATGCAGATTTAAACCCATCACACGCAGGTCATCACATATCCTCTTCATCATCTTCACCTCAGTCTTTTTTTCAATGTTTTTTTAATCTCCCCTAATTTCTTTGGCCTTGCTGGCTTCCGTGCAAGAACAATCTAGGAAGGGAAGTCAATAAGTAAGTCACAAGTGGTTTTGGAATGGCAGGAAAAAATGTAGCTGGTGGTTTCTAAATGTGTCATCAGGTGACAGCAACATTGAACTTTATGTCTCCATTCATTAGGTGGTGCTGGGTGTTGAATGCGCATTCGCAACATAGAAACAAAATGGTGACTGCACTTACAGAGTATACACTTAAAGAATAATGTGCTGTTGTGCGTTGCATTTTTTTTTTTTTTTTTTTTTTGGTCGATGGGAAGGGGGGCTGCCTGCAAAGGACATTCATAAGGAAATGCTTCCTGTTTATGCTGACAAATATTTATCCCGGAAAGTTCCAACGCTTCATGATGCAGTTAGAAGAAAACAGGACAATGCCAGATCAATATGGCTCCGTTAACTCAGGAGAAAATTAACCATCCAGGGTGGGAACTTCTGAAACATAATCTTACAGCCCTGTCTTAGCCCCTAGCGATTTCCACATTTTTGGTCCACTGAAAACTCAACTTGGCTGGAGACATTTCACGAATGATGCAGAAGTTAAATGTAAAGTGAAAATGTGGTTTAGAAAACACAGCACACAGTTCTATGCAGCAAGTTTTGGAGGACTGACAATACGATGAGACAAATGCATCAATGTTGGTGGAAATTATGTTGAAAAAATAAAGGGACAGTGTATGTGTAAAAACAAATGGTTTTCAAGAGGTTATCCTCCTTAGTTTTTTTTAAACAACCATTTTTGACTTACTTATTGACTTCACGTCACGGTCATACTATTATCAAGTTTTCTCAGTGTCTGTCCTATCCAGAGTGGTGGAGTAGTAGTAGTAATTGTTCAAGAATGTCCCGTTCAACCCTCAGTGTTAAAATTGGGATATATAGTTATTAACTGAGCTCTTCTTCTTTTGTCATCTCACTGATAGAAGGTTGTAGCCCAGTGTCGTGGTTTTTCTGTATTTGTCTTGAGCTTCTCAGGTGGTGTGAGTGGTGGATTTGTTCATCTTCTTGCAGGTTTCAGCTACACCATTTGTCCATGTCTTTCTTGGTCTTTCTCTCGCCTTCCTCCCAGATGTTCTATGGTAACAAGTTTCATATGCAGTCTGATCTGACTGCATTCTCACTAGATAGCTGAACCATTTCGTAACTGAGTTCTGAGAGAATATATTTGTTATTCTGAATTTATTTATCATGTAATTACTTATATGACCAAAATACGATGTGTATAGTTGCATATTTTGCTTTGATTAGGGCTGTTATTATGATAGAAATTGCACTATGAATAATCAGACATTATCCTATGGATAATTAGAAATTGTACTAAGAATAATTTGACAATCTTGATAGCATTGTGCCATTAGCATAGTGGATATATTGTTTCCTTAGTGTGCTCCAGAGTGGATGCCATTTCTTCGCATCTTGATTCACTGAAATTTGTTTAGTTCTGTCCCAAAACTAGTTACTTTACTAATTATCCGAAATATATTGTTAGTTGATTTTACATACCTTGACATGAAAATGCTGTTTTCAAAAACAGGAGATGGAATGTCAGAAATTGGGAATATACTGGGTAATTCAATTGATTCTTCTACATCAGAACTGTGAATGAAAGTCAACAATCTCTTTATGGCATTCTTATCATTTACATATTTACAAAACAAAGAAATTTAATACAGTAATGTTTAGTGGGGGGGGGGGGGGGGGGGGGGGGGGGGGGAAACACAACTTTTTAATACAGTAAAGTCTGTGGGGGGAAATTTTTAATAAGTAAAGTTTAGCAAAGGAGAACTTTAATACAGTAAAGTTACAATTACAAAAGGCAAGAGGAGCTTTCTTAGCACTATGAAATTTTCGGAGGTTAAAAGAAATTAAAACTTAACTAAAATTAGAATTTTTTATTCTAATGTCAAATCCGAACTGTTGTTTGGAGCGGAAACATAGAGAAAAACTAAGGCAATTACTTATAAACTACAAATAGTCTCTAGCTGGTGCCTGCGCAGAATAGAGGGAATTAAATGGTATGATAGAATCACTAATGTAGAGCTTTGGGAGAGAATTAAACAAGTTCCAGTGGACCAAGAGGTGAAGAAAAGATGCTGGCATTGGATAGGACATACACTGAGAAAACCTGAGAATAATATAACTAGAGTGTCTGTGCACTGGAACCCACAGGGTCATAAAAATAAAGGAAGACCAAAAAAAAACACATGCAGAAGGGAGCTAGAGTGAAGTTAAAAAGATGGGGAGAATTGCACGCGATAACCAAGGTCAGAATGACCTGGCGTGAGTTAATTGAGGGCCTATGCTCCATTAGGGCTAGAAGGCAGAAGAAGAGCACAACGAGCTACACAACTAGTTCATTCACTCCATCAGACTGAAAGCGACTAACAAAATCAACTCTGTTTTCCACATTTAGCTAAATTTCCATGGACATACTTTCCTCTGGTTTTCTAAGCAAATGTGCTCCTCAAACTTGCCTCGCCTTGTTTTGTGAAAATAATTAAAATCACACATTCAACCAGCATCCCGAAGAGGGAGCTTTTGGTTATAATTGTGACTTAGGTTATCTGTGTTATATCAAGAAGTAAAATGGCTTAACATTGTTTGCCATCAAGTAGCCTGAAAAGAACTCTTACAGTGCTGATGTGATCAAAGGAGACGAACCCAAATACTGTCTCCACCAATGCGACAAAGTTGTCTATCGGCCAACCGATGACCAATTCTCCTAAAACTTTGTGTGGCCCAAGTATTTATACTAACCTTGGTCAACCATCTCACGAATAATAATGTGCACTCACATATACTCTGACCTCTTACACAGTAGTGTGAGTAACACACATAACACCCTACTGTTTGATTTGTCACAATAATAACAAGACAAACATTACCCATGGATTATTCACACACATTTCTTGCAATGCCACCACCAACGAAAGCACCTACATGTAGCAGCACATGACACCAGTTCTGTGTTGGTTTCTTATTCTTCTTTGGCTTCCTGAATAATGCCCACGTCTGGCCACACCCCTTTTAACATGTTCTTGTAGTCTGGTCATTGTTGCAGATTGTTCTCACAAACGTCTTACTAACACCAAATACATTATAATGTGAAATGGTGGTAACCTACTGCTGTAAAGCAAGCAGCATAAGCTACACAAAGTATATTTACCTTGCAGCTGTAAAGGGCCAGGACATTTATGAGATGTAGTAACTTACGGATGGGAGGAGAGGCAGAGGGAGACTGAGAGAAAAGATGCTGGACAGTCTGACATCATGGCCTGGAGAATCATCTGAGTCAGAGTTGATTGATAGTACATAAGACAGAAGATTGTGGATAGACATGACTACCAATGCCACACAGCATGGAATTTGAGAAGAGGAAGAAGAAGTGACTCATGACTGACTAAGATCAGTTTCATTTTTTATGCCAGGAGATGAAAATGTGAAAGGAAATAAACAAGCTGATAGGCCTGCTGGTGTGAGGGTACTGTGGAGGGTGGATGAGTAATGGATAAGGCTGATAAGTGATTCTCTTCAAGAAGTAAGATGTCTGAGAAAACCAAGGGATGACTGAATCAGCAACCGTGATCAGACTGCAAGAACAGTGAGTGACAAGGGGTGGGGCCAGACAAGAGAACTATGCAGAAAGTCAAAGAAGGATAATAAACTGACACAGAACTAGTGTCATTAGCAGCTACAAGCTGCGAGACTTACTGAGGAGGGAATCTGAGCACTTATGGACTGAATAGTTCAATATGCAAAAAGGGTGGTCTGTCAATTAACTGAGATGTATTGAAGCATTGTTGTTGTGAAGAGAAGGGGATATAAATGAGATAAAGTGAAAACTTGTAGTTGTGAGAAGATGGGGATATAAATGAGATAAAGTGAAAACTTGTAGTTGTGAGAAGATGGGGATATAAATGAGATAAAGTGAAAACTTGTAGTTGTGAAAAGATGGGGATTTAAATGAGATAAAGTGAAAACTTGTAGTTGTGAAAAGATGGAGATATAAATGAGATAAAGTGAAAACTTGTAGTTGTGAAAAGATGGAGATATAAATGAGATAAAGTGAAAACTTGTAGTTGTGAAAAGATGGAGATAAAAATGAGATAAAGTGAAAACTTGTAGTTGTGAAAAGATGGAGATATAAATGAGATAAAGTGAAAACTTGTAGTTGTGAAAAGATGGAGATATAAATGAGATAAAGTGAAAACTTGTAGTTGTGAAAAGATGGAGATATAAATGAGATAAAGTGAAAACTTGTAGTTGTGAAAAGATGGGGATTTAAATGAGATAAAGTGAAAACTTGTAGTTGTGAAAAGATGGAGATATAAATGAGATAAAGTGAAAACTTGTAGTTGTGAAAAGATGGAGATATAAATGAGAAAAAGTGAAAACTTGTAGTTGTGAAAAGATGGGGATTTAAATGAGATAAAGTGAAAACTTGTAGTTGTGAAAAGATGGAGATATAAATGAGATAAAGTGAAAACTTGTAGTTGTGAAAAGATGGGGATTTAAATGAGATAAAGTGAAAACTTGTAGTTGTGAAAAGATGGAGATATAAATGAGATAAAGTGAAAACTTGTAGTTGTGAAAAGATGGAGATATAAATGAGATAAAGTGAAAACTTGTAGTTGTGAAAAGATGGGGATTTAAATGAGATAAAGTGAAAACTTGTAGTTGTGAAAAGATGGAGATATAAATGAGATAAAGTGAAAACTTGTAGTTGTGAAAAGATGGAGATATAAATGAGATAAAGTGAAAACTTGTAGTTGTGAAAAGATGGGGATTTAAATGAGATAAAGTGAAAACTTGTAGTTGTGAAAAGATGGAGATATAAATGAGATAAAGTGAAAACTTGTAGTTGTGAAAAGATGGGGATTTAAATGAGATAAAGTGAAAACTTGTAGTTGTGAAAAGATGGAGATATAAATGAGATAAAGTGAAAACTTGTAGTTGTGAAAAGATGGAGATATAAATGAGATAAAGTGAAAACTTGTAGTTGTGAAAAGATGGGGATTTAAATGAGATAAAGTGAAAACTTGTAGTTGTGAAAAGATGGAGATATAAATGAGATAAAGTGAAAACTTGTAGTTGTGAAAAGATGGAGATATAAATGAGATAAAGTGAAAACTTGTAGTTGTGAAAAGATGAAAGAGATGGAGATATAAATGAGAATATATATATATATATATATATATATATATATATATATATATATATGTGTGTGTGTGTGTGTGCGTGCGTGCGTGCGTGTGTGTGTGTGTGTGTATATATTTATGGGAGAAAATGTTGAAGTCAGTCTCTACTACAGTTTAAAGATGTGTGCAAGTGGGACAGGAATATCTCTTCTCAGCTTGCACACATCTTTAAACTGTAGTAGAGACTGACTTCAACATTTTCTCCCATCTGTAAATCCTCATAGAGCAGCGGTTCTCAACCTGTGGCTCGTGAAATCTTTGGGGGTCGAACCACCCTTTCACAGGGGTGGGCTAAGACCATCAGAAAACACAGATTCACTGAAGTTATGAAGTAGCAACAAAAATAATTTGATTCTTGTGGGTCGCCACAACACGAGGAACTGTATTAAATGGTCACGGCATTAGGAAGGTTGAGAACCCCTGCCACGAAGTGTCATTAGGGACTCAATCAACCAACCAATCCTCCAAGTATGTTCCAACTATATGAATCTTTGAAAAAAAAAAATACAGTAGGTAGTACAATTGAACATAAATGACAGAACAGTTTGACTAACCTCGTGTACATGTTGGAGGCTGACTGTTCCACTCTCCATTCTCTGTGCATGTCAACTTGTCTGGTCCATTTATGCTGTAGCCATCATTGCATTCAACCACTGTCACGTCCCCCACCTGTAACCCTGAGAGATTTCGGTTGCCATTTGCAACAGTTTCAGCATCAAGATATGGGCATCGTATAACTGTTAGAAGACACAAAGAGTATCTGGATATACACATACATATATAAAAGTCTCATCAATATAGGAGACGTTATAACCAACTTCTTATGGGAACAATCATTAGAGGTACCGTGGTAAGGTTGCTGTGTGGGAGGATTGGGTATGTATGTGAATGCAGTGATGTCGATTGTGATAACATAACACAGAAGGTCTGATCAGCAAAAGTGAAACAGTTCAAAAAAAAATTTTTTTTTTTTTTACTGAAAGCCATGTCAGGAAAGTATGAAGCATGAAGCGTGATTCTAATAACCAGGCCACTGGACAATGGGAGTGTGACAGCTCCATCATGACTATGCTTCCCTTATCATCCTGGCAGTCAATGTTTGATTGTTCTTCTTGATAAAACAAGGAGGCTGCATGGTCTCAAGGCATGGCGTCCGCCTCGAGTGCTGCAGGTCCTGGGTTCAAGCCCCGGTAAAGGCTGGGATTTTTTCACGTCAACTTCTAGTTATCTATAGGTACTAAGATCGAACGCTGTTATATTGTTGTGCACGTAAAAAAATCCCTTGGCAGTTAGAAATCGAAACCAGCAGCCTAATGGTGCTGTCTGGGCAAAATTGGAGTGACAAATCTACCCAAAGTATTTCAGGATCCTCACTGGTGTTACGGAGTTCGTGCACTG